TTTGAGCGGCAATCTCGCGCCACATTTGGGCATATTCTTTAAAAGATTCTCTATCCTTCTGGGACATAGCTCGGAGTTGATCTCAGTCCGGGGCCATGTCAACATTATACTTGTATTGACAAACAAAATCTTCACCGAGGTCGTTGAAGTTGCGGACTCGGGTGTTATCTAAACCCATGTACCATTTCAATGCGGCACCAGTTAAGCTGTCTTGAAAATAGTGAATCAAAAGCTTATGATCATCAGAGTAAGTGGACATCTTTCTCACATATATGGTCAAATGACTTTGTGGACACGAGTCACCTTTGTACTTTTCAAAGTCTGGCACTTTGAACTTAGCTGGAATTTTCACGTTTGGGACCAAACACAAGTCATAAGCATTCTTCCTGAACAAGTCTTTGCCTTTAAGTGCTCTAATTTCTCTCTGCATCTCTTGGAATTGGTCTTGAAACTCCTCCATCCTATCAAAGATGCCCAAACTTTCAGTAGGTTCAACATGATAAATGGGTTCATTTGTATATGGAATAGTGTGAACCACGGGAGTGACAATAGTCATTATAGGCTGAGGAAAAGACAACATAGGCTGGATCACAGGTTGCACAATAATCATCTCAGGTTGAGGAAAGGATACAACAGGTTGAATCATGGGTTGCACAGCAGGCTGGTACCCCTCTAGCGTGAAGTTGTAAGGCATACCCCATGGAAAACCTTTCGGAATTTGATGTTGCAGAGAGTTGACTTGATCCAGAGATGTTGGAGCAGTGATGATTTCGGAAACCACAACAATTTGAGCTCGAGTCTTGGTGGCCGAATTCGATGGCTGATTCTGAGCAGCCATCAAGCTTTCCACCAAAGCAGTCAAATTTTCCATTCCAGTATGAAGAGTAGTGACCTCCTCGCTAAGCTCATGATTTTCTTGCTCTAGATCTTCCATTCTCTTTCGACGATTGGCTCGAGTATTATACCGGTGAAATAACTTGACGATCTATCAGAGTGGAAAAAGAAACAAGAATAAGACTCTAGAAAACATGTGAAATTGAATGTTGGATGATGCATGATATGTGATGCAAATGATTATTTATTTTTATAGTTTTTCAAGGAACTTTAGAACTTTGCACACATCAATGGTAAAGGAATTTGGAACAACAAAAACTCATTTCATTAATAAAAGCGGTAAATTACAACTTTGGGATAACAAAACCCATTAATAAAAGCAGTAAATTACAACTTTGGAACATAAAGCCCTTTTACATAGTTTTACAAAATGACATAAGTAATAAAAAAAACTAGGAACTAAAGATCACTCAGAATCATCATCAGATAAAGGACCAAATGCTACTTGTAACTTGAGCTTCCTAATCTTCTCTTCATAGAAATCTTCCATCTCTTTCTTCTCGGCTACCAGTTGATCAACGACTTCCTTCCGTGGATTAGGAACAGGAGTAACGCCTACCAAATCTTCCTTCTTTCTCTTCCTTTCCTTAGCATATTTCCTGAGTAATGCATCCTTTTGAGGAAGCTTCTCCTCATGATCAATAAACTAACCATCTTGAATAAATAGCATATCCTCCTTCTCCTTCAGCTGTCAAGTCAGGACCCTATTTTCGTATTCGGACATACTATACTTTTCCTTCCAAGCATCTCTTTCAGACTTCATTATAGCCAGATTTTCCTGACAATCTCTCATGTTCTCAATAGGGATATCAGTAGATGATGATGTAGCAACAGGGAATAAAGGTTTCTCGGGATTATAAGGCATCTTGAGAGCACAAGCCCTAGCACGAACCCATTGAAGGTAAGGCTCCAAAGAAACAACACCTCTATGCCTTAACATGTCTCTCCCCTTTCTATGGATATGGCGCCAAGCCTTTTCAATCTCCTCTTTAACTGCTTTGTGATCTTTTCCTTATTGTAGAAAGAAACCACTCAAATGAATGTTATTCGGCTTGTCCTTCATTGGGTATCCAAACTGGTGGCGCGTAAGGACAAGATTATAGTTAATTCCTCCCATCGTACCAAGAAGAGGCACGTTAGGTAAAAACACCACAAATATCAATGATCTTCACGTCATAGTAAGCTCGATTATACCAATCTATGTCGGAATGAGTAAGAGCCATAATTTTTGGTGCCCATCGTGGCTCCTTCTTGAGATCCCAGAAAATATCAGACCCATGTAAATGAGAAACATACGATTGGTATAGCAATGGTGCACAACAGATAATCATCCATCCTTGTAGGAGTTTCAAAGATGGATGGAATATAAGGTATCTCCTAACAGCGTAGGGACCAGATTTCCAATCAAGAACATTCTAATGGCGTTGGTATCCACGAACTTATCGACGTTAGGGAACAAGAACAATCCATAAGCAATTAAGGAAAAGACATCTTCGAAGGCGTCATTATCCTTTATCTCGGCGAAGTGACGAGCTTTATTAAACAAAAACTGCGCATGTAAGCCTCGAATTCCTCCCTTAGTAGTCATGTTCGCTTCTATCTCAGACCTCCTCAAGTGGGTGATTTTTGCTATCTCGTGAGATTTGGGTTCCCCTTCTAAACCATAGAAAGGAACACAGTCGGTGATTGGAAAACCAAGTATATAGGAGTACTCTTCTAAAGTGGGAATTAACTGGTAATCAGGAAAAGTGAAGCATCGATATAATGGATCATAGAATTGGATCAACATACTAAGAATGCCTTCCTTCATCTTGTGCTTCATGAGAGGGATAATAGATCCCTATTTATTTTGAAACCATGTAAGGTTCTTAATCTTGGGAATCAAACTCTTCAACTCTTCAATCTCAAGCTCCTTAAAACTATAACTCCGAGTGTTTCTTTTTCCAAAATCCCTAGTAACAGTACCTGAGATGTCTGCAAAAATCATTCTTAAGTTCCTTGAAAAACATGTTTACAAAAATGCTTATGGATGTATGAATGAACGATAATGCAAAAATTACACATAAGTTCACAAACATGGGGTTCAAAGTTTCAACGCTTCGAGCATGGAGTCAAAGGTAAAGCCCACCCCCAAGGTATGTACTAAAGGTTTAATCACACCTGTAAAACGAGGTTCTAAAAGTTCCCAGAGTCTACATCCCTCCTTCGAATATTACCAACATCTCGATTACTCGATAATTAGTAATATTCTCAAGAGAAACTCGTCTGAGTGTAGCATCGCGTGACAACTACTTCCGAATTATTCCGTTATAGTCTTCGCGCTACACCTAAGAGGCCAAGATGGGTTAGGGTTCTACGGCTCTCAGCTTCTTTGGCTCCCAGGTCGAAAGAAATAATGTCTTCTCAATTACTCGATAAACAAATACTACGTTTAAAGGGGCTTCCACTGAGTGGGGGGTTTCATGCCTCCTTCTTCGAGATTACTCCCTCAAAGTTAACATGACTATACCTCCCATCCTATTTCCAAGTGTATCTTAGTCTGGGTATAGGATTTGTCCTTTATAAATATTATCAACACCCAAATAACCACAATATATCACATATAATCAAACAAATAAATAATAATAACAAAAAACAGATATTACAAATTAGGCTTAACCCACTTAAGGATGGACCAGCAAGAGGTCAATCTTTCCCCAACAGAGTCGCCAATTCTATAACGATAAAAAATGTAGCGGGGTTAATCGGAGATCGAGCTATTAATTAACTCGACTCACAAAGCAAGAGTCGCCACCGCGCTTTATTATTTCCAAGGGAAAAAGGAAAAGAGCGAAATAAAACCCTTAAATATGCAATGTAAAATAGTAGTTAAAAGTAATGAGAATACAATGCGTTTTTGAAAAGAGATCTAAAGTTCTGGAGTTGGTTATGCAATGGGAAGGTATTAGCACCCAATGCATCTGCGGTACTCCACAGGAACCTTTTGAAATATCTGTTTTTTTTGTTTAAATAGTTTGTTTGATTAAAATGGTTTGTTTGGCTAAAAAAAGGTTATAGACAAGATTTCGAAGATACGACGACCAAGTGTCGAAGTTTTGACTTAAAATGTGTGAGTTTGAAAATTGAATCTTTTAGGAAAATTGACTTAAAGTTTGGCAAAAAGAGTAAATAGAAAAAAATGAATGAAGGTATTCGCACAATCGTAAGATATATTTTTGATGACATGAAGTCAACAAAATTAAAATATTTCCCTTGGAATTGAGACGGATGAAAGATAAAGATTAAACCGATCGAGAATAAAGTTAATTATAGCGACAACTGAACAATTAAATAAATAACGAGAATTAAATTACTAGCATGCATTTTCAAACAAAAATTAAATAAAAGATTAGTTTAAAAGCATGTATTTAGACAAAATTAAATAAAGATTAACATGTATTAGGATAATTAATAAACAGAAAATTAAATAAAAAACTATTTGAATAATTAATAACTAGCAAAATAAACAACATGTATTAGCTTTTGGAAGAAGTTTATAAATAAACTAGTTAATGTTTTGGTTATCAAGTATATTTTAAAAAAATTTAGAAATAAGACTAAAAGAATGAAGAAAAAACATAATAAAATGGCCCAATAAAGAGTTGAACTCGTGTCTCTTTAGGTTTTAGTAGCATACTTTGCCAATTGAACTATGTTATTTATCTATCATATCTATGCTTTTATTAATAAATAAGGTGATGATGGTAATGGGATTGGGCCAAAAGGCCCAATGCAACCGACCCGGTTGGGAAGAGGCAAGGATGCTTTTTTGAAACCCTAAAACATAAAGAAAGGCACCGCGGCTGGGAGTATTGGAAAGAGTAAACTACAGATTAAATATTACAGTTTCCAGTAAAAGCAAAAAAAGAACGAAAAATTGAAACAACAACAAAAATATCCTCTCTCTCTCATGGATTATCACTGTCAACTTCCTCTTTCTCCATTCCAACTTTACATCCTCTTCGCTCAAACAACCATCACCAATAATTCCTCTCTCACAAAGTTCCCTGTTTTCTTCTGCAACACTTTTCTTTTACCCTGCTTCGCCTACCAAACCTGCTCTAAAAATGCAGGAATCGAAGCCATACTTGAGGGGGTCAATCGTAGAAGGTTGTTCGGTTGATTCGGGTGAGGGAGAAAGAATGGCCGAGTCAGCGTCGTCGAAATCGGAGGGGATTTACAGGTTTTGAAGGTGATGATGGATGGAAGTATGTGAACTGGTCATAGGCGGAGACGATGTTGTGCTTCAGAAAACGATATAGATGAAACACTTGAATAGTCGATTTAGCAACTCTAGTGGAATCATTTTTAGGCTTCGAAACCCGGGAAGTACTACTTATTTCAAGATTTTCAACCTCCGCTCTTTGTTCGGTAGGTCCAGATTGTACTCCATTTGAAACTTAATGATCCACAACAGAGAGAAGCATTTTGTTGCAAATTTCATAACATCTTCTGCTATGTAACTAAGCTGAAAGAGTTTGTTGGTCACCATCCAAATAGCTTTAGCTTAAATCTCGTCATGTGGGTGAACAACACACTTCAATTCTATTTCTAAGCATCTTTGGCGATTTTGTTTTTGTTTGTTGGTATTTTTCTGATTTTACTGTTTTAGAAGGTGTGATATGTGTGGCTTAGTGGCTATATAATGAATTTCTTATTTTATGTTCAGGTTCTCTTTCAGCAACAATAACCTTCTTCTTCCTCCACGCAAGCTTGAGATTCTCAATCCATGAGAACGATAGTCTTCAAAAACCTGTTTAGAATAGTTACCCTCCACTGTTATTTCTTTTTAAATGGTGGAAAAATGGGAGTGGCGGTGGAGATGATACAAAGGATGTATCAAGGATTTAAGTAGAGCTAATGGAGAGAAGAAGAGGATGAAGATTATTGTTCAGAAATGGTGATAGAGGTTGACTTGGTGGCAATATGGTTGCATGGCGGAAGAGGCAGGCTGTAGCAAAATGAAGCTCTGGTAGGCTGAAAATGATTTGTTTTGACATGTAAAGGGGGAATTAGTTACAACATTTGCAAGTTCTCGATCTGATTTCATTTTCTTAGTCGAAGTATTTTCTTGGTTGATATTTTACAGGTTTCTCGATAGTCTGCGGACCAGACTCGTCCTCAGGATACATAGGTGATGTAAATTCAACTGTTTTTTTATAAACGTCATTGTGATAAAAGCGGGTGACAACAACTCTGGTATCTGAAGTTATACAGGTGATTCTTGAGTATACTAGGTTATTTAGGAGTTGATGGTTTCTAATAATAACTGGTTTATATATAACATACAGATGCTGGAAGTGTTTGCAGGTTGATATGTATTGTGGATGGTAAGAAGGGAGTGAGAAATTGGACAACATTTGGATGGTACAATTCTATCCCTTATTCTAGTAATTTTAAAGTAATATTGTTGAGTTCTGATGTAGGTTTGGGTTTGTTAACGGGTTAACATGTTTGGTTTAACAGAGTTGAGCATTTTTTTAGAGAAAATTTGTTAGCAGGTTATGCATCTTAGTTTTCTAGTTATGTTAATAGGTTGTAACATATGTGCAAAACAAGTGTCCTATGTTTTTCTTTTAACAGGTTGCAACTTAATCCTAAGAATTAATATTTTGATTTTTAACAGGTTAAACATCAACAGAACGTAGCAACTCCAGAATACCTCAAGGATTATGATAAATTAAACAGTCATGGCACAAAGGAAATGGTGCAAAGAGAAGATTCAAATCATGGAGGTGATGTTGTTATGCAAATGGATTCAGCAGATTCTATATGAGAAAACTATAAAGAAATAATGGGAAGAGAAATACCTATCGGAGTCTCTCCGATGGAGCTTCAGAAAAAATAGTAAGTTCTCCATCCCTCTCTTGTTGATGCTTCTCTTCTCAATGCTCCTCTTGTGATTCTTAGTGTGATTCTTGGACAATTTTTTTCTCCTCCTTTCTGTTGATGAAGGCCTTTATTTATAGTGAAATGTGTAGGGTTTTAGGGGGAAAAATAGTAGAGATTTGAACTGTTTTGGCAAGCTGTTTTCATACTTTGTTCACATAATTTATTTTAACCATTTTGATGCAATTCTGTGGCTATTTTGATGCAGGTTGGAGCATACTGTATATCAGTTTACAACACATTTTGGCAGCGTTTTGGGGCTGCTGTATGTTGCTGTTTTTTTAGGCTATTTGTAGCATTTTACAGCATCATTTCTTTGGACTGCTATGCTGCATTTCTGGGCTAGTTTGTTGCCTTGCTGAGCAGTAAAAATACAATAAAATTAGGCTGGAAAATGGGGCAAAATGGACTTCATTAGCAACTTTGTTGGGCTTAATTTTTGAGTGTTGAAATATATTTTGTACAAACTTGTATCTTCTTTGAAACTTTGTAATAATAACTCAAATAAATTTGTAACACAAATGGAAATTGTTCTCCAATATAATTCCTTCAATTCTTTTGTAAAATCGTGAACAACTTTGAATCTTCGATTAAAATTAAGAATCTTGATATGTCTTGATAAAATTCCAAGTCTTCCATTTGAATTTGGGAAATAATTGAATAATACTTGGATGAATTGTTGAATGATGAATAAATAATAATGCAAGCCTTAAGACTTCAATCTTGCATTTTGTAATAGAAATCCAAATAAATCCCATTAATTGATCTTGTAATAAAATAACAACCATCATGTAATTAATCTTGTGATGAACGATTATTTGAATCAGATTTCTTTTTCCAACATCTTCTTGAATAAATGCTCCATGTGAATTCAAATGGTCATAATGTAAACCCACCAAAATAATCACACAAAATAATCTTGAATGAGATCTCTTGGTAGCTTCTATTAACACTTGAATTCAAATAAAGAAAATTCCAAGTATTTCGACTAAAGTCTTCCAGAACGGTCTTGAATTTAATCACCCCATTTTAACGAAATTCGCCCCACATCATGAGAAAACTTGCAGATGACTTTTGGTTGAAGTGGTCGGAGTTGACTTGCATAGCTTGATTTTTATTGTATTTCAAGGCAATGCGGAACACACATGAACCAATGGAAGTAAAACTCTGATTGTTTCTTTCTGAAGAATTTCAGAGACACTTGAGGCCATCTGTTAGATAGAGCATGGAAATAACACACGATTCTCTGAAAGTTCTTTTGATGAGCCAGACTTTGAGAATTAAGGATCGACTGCATCTCTGTTTTGAGACTCGAAACCCTAATTAAGGTGTGACGTCTGATGCTCTTCTTTCAGACCTGTTTCCTGCACATGAAATAAAAAAAACATAACATACACTTCGTGCTTGATTAGTGGTTAGTCATTCATAAGATAAATTGCTCACAACACTCGAAAATCTCTGCACAATCAATGCTCGAAGGTGAAACGTTCGAAATCTACCACATTTCGCGACCTTGATGTATATTTAAAATAATGCAAATGAAGATAGGATCTTAGGTCAAAAATTGGGGTATGATAGATGGTACGTAAATTTATTTATTTATTCATTAATTTACCATTTAGATTTTAAATTACGTATAACTAATTATTATTTTTTACTTGTTTAATTAGCGTGAAGAGTTGGGTAGAACTATACTTTTTAATGAGCGTCATATGGAGACTTATCTCAATAGAAATGGAGAGTTTATTGAAGAGCACGCAAGAAACACTCAAGTAAGCTTTTGTTATTTTAAAAACATTTTAATTATTTCTTTTATATGTACCTAGCTCATTTGAATCATTATAACATTTAATTTTTTTGTAGGATAAGTTTGATAGACACCTTTCCCTAAAGTTGTCAGAGCATCCTGAATTACCTGGACCACCACCGAGATATTCTGTTGATCCTAGTGTAGATTTTCAGACATGGTATGATGTTTCAGGTGGAAAGAAGAAAAATGGGAGAGTGTATAGTGCTGGAGGGTATGCCAAAACTATCAAGCGGCATGATAGGAATTTCACAATGAGACTTGCTGATGGAGAAGGAACATCAACTCAACCTATATTAACCGCCAAAATGCTTGAAACTGTGAGAAACTTGGCGAATATTGAGGAAGCACTCCAAGTAGCAGCAAGAAATGCAGAAACTGAAGAGATAAAGAAAAAACAATTAAAAATGCAACAAGAAATGCAGAGAAGAGAAACAGAGTTACGAGAAGAAATGAGGAGGCAATCACAGGAGTATCAAGAAGCAATGCGGATTGCAAATGAGTGTGTTCAAAGATTTGATCAATTTTTTGCTTGACAAAATTCTGGTGTTGGATTTGGATGAACTAGTGGATATGGAGGTGTTGTTGAAGAAGAAGAGCAAGGAGAACAAGATGAACAAGAATAGAATAATTAAATATGAAAATGTGATATTTATTTTAATTTGTATGAAAGAATTTATGTTAACTATTTTGAACTTAATAACCTTATTGTAATTTGCATGAAGTTTTATTTTAATTTTTATTATGTTTGATTGAATTTTAATTATTATATTTATCATGTTTAATTACATTTATTATATTAATTCTATTAATTATATTATAATTATTATATTATCATTATTGGTTTTTATTCTATTAATATTGTTATTTTTTATAAATACTTTTACAATTTGCCAAGGGATAAAATTCAAGGAAAATGTCAACGCCTTTATTTTGCTAGGGGCTTAACCCTTGGCAAATGGAAAAACATTTACATTTTTCCAGGGGCTTAACCCCAAGCAAAAGTTCTGATGCACTGCACCAGCTAACCACCTAGCCTGCGTGTACGTCTACATGTTGCAGGCTGTAAAAAATAAAATTTCATTTTGCGAGGGGGTAAGCCCTACGAAAAATGGCAACGTGTAAGGCCCCTCAAAAATAAAATTGCGACCCACTGTTTTCCTAGGGGACCAGTCCCCTCGCAATTTTCGTATTTGTGAGAGGTTTTTACCATTTGTAAGGGGTTTATCCCCTGGCTAATTACCTTTTTCCTTGTAGTGAGTCATCAGTTCCACAACCCGGCTTACCTTTCACCGTTCAGGATGCACACGATTCCCCTGAGGTGATTGTTGTCTCCCAGGATTCACTTGATTTATTTGGTGCCTCCCATGATTCACATGATGTGTTTCTTGCGAGGCTAATGGAATATTTATGTTATTAATCATATCTAGCATCTCTTGCCAATTACAAGTACTTTCGTAATCAAGTTTGGTGCCTATATTGTCATAGTTGAGTTGTATTGGTAGGGTTATGGCTGGGCGGGCTAGTTGGTTGAATTGAGAAATTAATTCATTTTGGAAACAAAGCAATGGTTGTTGTGGTTTTTGATAGGCATGTGTTGGTTGGGTGCATTTGCGGTGTGATGTTTGGGTGCTTTAGTGTTGTGATATTTGGGTGTACATTAGTTGGATACTATGGTAGGATGTGATGGTATCGAATGCCTTATTGGTGCTATGGTAAGATGTGATTATGATATATGTTTATTGTTAGTATGAGTCACATTCTTAGTTTTGAGTTTGGGTGTGGGGCATGTATTTGTCGTAGGCTTGGAAGTATGTGATTTGGTAACCATGTTCGATTGGTTGTTGGGTGTATGTGGTTTGATAATTTTGTGGGGTTAATTGTAGGGTGTAGGTTGGTTAAAAAATTTGTTAGCTTGGTTGTTGGATGTAGGTGTGTTGGTAGTCATGTTGGGCGTATGATGACAAAGCTTGTAGGCGTGAGTCGATCAAATACCTAAAATTAGAAACAAAATGAGTTGTTGTAATTGATCTATACGAATCCTATAATTTTGAGTTAGTTTAGATTCATATGACATGATAGGTTCTTTTATGGCCCGTTGATGACAACACTTCCTCTGACGAGACACAACCTTAGCAAAGTCTCTCAAATCGGTAAAATTTCATTGGACATCGACTCTAAGTTTATGCCAATGTCCCTAACACCTCAGGGAATCTGGGATTTGTTGCTGCATTGCAAACTGCAATTTGACATGGCCACTACTGTGCATCACACTAGTAGTAAACCTGATGATCATTGTAATTGTAGTCCAAACTACAACATCTTCAGGGTTGATTTCATGGTCCACACTAAAATATGACCTCAAGATAAACTATAGAGAAAATGTATTATTAGATTAGAAAATTGTTGATATTAAAACTAAATCAATGAGATGATAAATATCTTAGTTGTAATACATCATCTGGTTCAATGTGATCCAAAATATTTTGATAAACCGTTATAGTGTGGAAATTTGTTACAGTTCATCCCTCGAATAGACCACCTAACCTAAAATAGTGAAAATTAAATTATTTACAGTTATTTATAGTATAAAGTAAGTAAATGAAAATAATATAAACTTACTTTGTCACATAGGGAAATGTACAAGTATCCTTATATGCGTTTTTACACAAAGAACTATATAGATGGGAAAAACGGATGAACCCCTACTATATGTTCCTATTTTAGTTATGTCTCTTAGCAAAGGTAAATACATAATATTTACAGTATTACCAGTAGTTTCAGAAAACAAAACCTTACTAAACAAAATCATAATATAACATTTAGTTTTGATTATTCGTTCATTCTCTGTTGGATATCCGATTAATATCATATATGTTTAATGTTTTTAAAGTTTCTTTAGATTAAAGCCTTGACCCTTCGTTGATTCTTCAAACAAATTGAAACCCAAGAGTTCCTTGCATATTGAAATGTCTTGGTTAATTTGTCCATTAACAGCCTTACCTTCGATACGTATTTGCAGATCAAGGAACCAGAGGAAAATCATCAAGAGAAAATCAATGAAGTCTCCATCGAGTATTTATTTATTCAACAGAAGGGAAAGGGAAATCATCAAAGAAAAACCTGAGAAGGTAGAAGTCATGATCTTACGACCAAGAGATCGGTTACGGGAGTCGATTATGCAAGGGAAAAGTATTAGCACCCCTCACGTCCGAGGTACTCAACGAGATCCTCTCTTGTTGTTTTAATCAAAGGGTGTGTTCATATATAAAGCTTACAAGCTAAGGGAAAAAATGCATGTATGCAAAGTGTATATACAAAGAAAAAGGTTTTATTAGTCGTGCCTGCCTCGATTGCAAATCTTTGTGCCTACGTACAATCCTCGTGAAATAAGAGATCAAGAAACTCGTAGTTCATCTCAAACATTTAGATTGTTTGTATGTTTTTTTATGAACATGCTAATTTTTCATTCTACCGCAACTCGGCCATTGAAGACTCACACATTGTAGTAGAAAGGAATTAAGACATCCTTATATGAAAATATTTTAAAATAAAAATGGTCCGAAGACAAAAAGGTTTGCATTGGTTGATGTTTTTTACCTTGAAAAAAGGATTTGGCTAATGTTAGAGTGTTTTGAAGTTTTCTTAAGAAAAGGAGTTTTTGTTTTAATGATGCGAAAAGGGAAGATAAAAAGTCTTAAGGAGACTAATCTAGTTCTATCCTAGTGTTATCATACAATGATGGTCCTAAAGTTTGGATAACAAAGGGGAATATCTACCTAAGTTGGCATGCATAGTTAACAATCCTAATGTCTAACTTGTTCAAAAACGAAACAAGTGAGTCCTAATGGAACATGCAAAGGTGAAACTAAAATATCAAGCAAAGGTGTAAAGAAAAGCACAAACACAAATGCAGTCGAACAAAGTCGAACAAAGTCGAACCAAAACCAAAACAAAGATCAAGTGCGAGCTAGTGAAACAACCGGCTGAAAATCATCAAACAATGAAGTCGCCATCGAACGTATTTTATCCCACACGTAGGGAAAGGTAAACATCGAGAAAACCTGATGAGGGAGAAGTCACGGCCTTGCGACCGAGAGATCGGGTAAGGGAGTCTGTTACGTGAGGGGAAGGTATTAGCACCCCCCACGCCCGTAGTACTCTACGGTATCCACTCTTGTTATCTATCTTATGGGTGTGTTTAATCTATGCTTACGGTCTACTATACTACTGAAGGAGAATGCATGCAAAAGAGAAGGGAAAAGAATGTAGGGAAAATAAAATTGTGCTCGCCTGGGCCCTACCCCAATGCCTACGTATCCTTTTTGAGGAATCAGAGCAGCCGTAGTTCGGCTTATGTTTTTGTTTGTTTGTATTTTCTTTAATGAACAATATTAATTTCGCCTTCTGCCGCAACTCGACCTTTGGAGACTTACGCGTCAGCACAGAAGTGAATTAACATGCTCTCTTGAAAAGTTTGGAAATAAATGTGCCTGGACGCACAAAAGTTTGAATTTGTTTGTGTTTGTAGCGAACGATATTAATTTCGCTTTCTGCCGCAACTCGACCTTTGGAGATTTACGCGTCAGCACATAAGTGAATTAGTATGCCCTTTTGAAAAATGTTTGAAAGGAAGGCCCGAAGGCAAAAAGAGTTTGTATTGGTTGTTGTTTTTTCTTGTAGATAATAGCTAGTTAATCTCAAGAGATATTTTAACCACGTCTCTACTTATTTGTGAAATGAGTCTTTGAAGATTGAACCACACCTATACTTGAGACGAAGAACAATAAGATCGAGAAGAGACCCGCTTATCGTCTCACAGACTCAACGAAGATATGATTCTCGTCAGTGATTTTTTTAAAGTATTTTCTGAAGTTCGTAGAAAAGAAGTTTTTATTTATTTTTAAATGCCCATGCAAAAAGGGAAAGAAAAGTCAAAGGGAAACTAACCTATTTCTAAACCTAATGTTATCATACTTCATATGATCTATGGGAAGAGATAAATGCGAGGTGAAAATAGAAAGAAAATATACCAAACAAGTACTAGCCCGTAGAGAAAAGCAGAAAAATAAAAGATACTCGACGAACTCGGGAGCTGCTAGCATCAACAAGGAAAAGAGTCAAAAATACAATACTCGAAATAATTGTTGAAGCATCATCGATGTGAAAATAAATCACACTCGAAATTTCAATGGTATCCACATATCGCATAATGAACCTGCATAAGATTTAAATCTCAACAAAGCAAAGGTGAATAATGAATTTCTAATAATTGGATAACCACGAATTAACTCCTAAGAAATCGAAAATAATAAAATCTAACAAATTCTTACAGATTTTTTATATTTTATATTTTTGTGAAGAAAATTAAAACAAGTCTTAAACCATAATTGAAATTAAGAAAAAAAAGAAATTGCAAATAGTGAGAACCAGCCCAGGAGGTGTAAATTGCACACGATGCCACTGCATAGCGATCCCAATTCAGATTCTAGGCCCAGTTCATGAAGTATTTTTGTTATAGTTTTTTTTTCTAGGC